TTTGGTTTCCTTGAAATTAATTTATTAATTTATTAGGGTTCTAAACTAAGAATTTGTGTGGCAATGGAAGTTTTAAACATCTAAATTTGGATGGGAGATTGGGAAAGAGGAGCTCTTGCAATATGGGTGTCTAGAAGAAGCCAGATAGGTCAGAACCCAACTTTAGTAAGAGTCTGTGGCTCAGCCAGGGAAGAAAGAAACATGCTGAAGAGTTGTTTCTTGTCCTGTAAGGATGGAAGAGGGGCTGGAGAGCTTGCTCAGTGGTTAACAGCACTAGCTGCTTTTGCAGAGTACTCAGATCAAGTTCCTGGGATGCACATGGTGGCTCACAACTCTATAACTCCTGTTCCAATGAATCTGATGCCCTCCCTCTTCTGACCTCAACCAGGAGCATGATTTTATATGTGTGAGTGTGAATATGTGTCTGTGCACACACAAAAGCAAAAAAATTCATACACATAAAATAAAAATAAATAAATCTTAGAAAAGGAAACATTCATCACTAGATATTGGTTTCTAAAATAATTTTCTGATAAAAGGAATGAAGCTTCTTTGGTGAAATGGATGATTCTCTGACCAGAACAAGGAGTATACAAGTTGAGCCTGGACTTCTTATTATAAACTGACCATTGATTCAGGTATGTCAAAATTACACAAGAATAAACAAAAAAAACACAAATACAAACATAGAAGGCTAAATTATGATCCAAAGTGTAGGGAAAATATCCACAAGAAAATACTGACATAAATAATTAAAAGATAAGTGGAAGAGAATAGAGAAGTCTCTTATAGGAAGAAAAACAATAAATAATTTATGTCACAATCTGCCTTCAGGGGAGGAGCATAACTCTTTTCTTTTTAAGTGTGAACTGTGCAGGGTGACTTCCTCCCAAAGAGCACTGTTAGGGAGAGATGTGGAGGGACAAGAGTAATGTTAGTGAGGATGCTTGAAGAACACCCTGGTCAAGTGCTGTGGTTCAGCACCAGCAGTGATGTACCATATTTCTATCACATGCCTTAAAGGTGTTTTAAGGAAAATGGAACTTTCTATGGCTTTTCATGTCAATATTCATGTCAATGATAGTTATCAGGAAAGCACCAGAAATGTCCCATTACAGAATATCCTCCAAAGCAACCAGTCCATGTTCCTACGGCTGTAAAACAGCAACACAGGAAAGTCCGGGATGCTTCACAGTTAAGGAAGTGTGAGGAGACAGGATGATGAAATTTAATATACCAGAATAGAAAACAAATGAAGAATTAGGGAAATATGAATAGATTACTGAAAATTTATCATCATTACTTCAGTCGTTAAAACAAATATATCATACTAATGAATTATGCTCATTATAGGTGAAATTGGAATATGATTAAAAAAGTGAAAAGTTTTTTCTAAGAAATATTGGTCATCTATGGAATCAACGGTGAAGTGCATGCCAAGACAGGTTTTCACATTGTTATCACCACAATTCCACTCTCTTTGAAAGCTCTTATACTGACTTATTTATAACGTATTTGATTAAGGATGAAAAAAGTAATTTTTCTAGATAATCTCAGTACTTGATACCTAACAGATTATCTGAAGGTGTGGGAAGTTTTCTCAGACATAAAGATGTATTTATCATAAATATATGGACAGAACCTGTGTCATTAACAATGTAGAGTATTCACGGGATGTACACGGGCTTTGTGAGAAGGTGCACCTTCAACATGGCCACCACTAGTCTCCCCCTTCCTTGTCTGTGTATACTAGTCCTCACATTTAGAGGTGAAAGCTTTTTGTTCCATTTTTAAAGGCATCTGGGCTGCCTCATAGAATGTGGTAGAAGTGACAGTCTGAATTTCCCAAATGTAGGCTTTAGAGAAAATGGTATATTTCAGTTTTCATCTCTTGGAAACTAGACTTCAAGTTAGAAGAAGCCTAAAGCCAGACAGAGGGATCATGTTGGTACTCTTATCTGCCCCAGCTCAGCCACAGATACTAGCCAGTACCAACAGCCTAGTTTAGGTCTCAGATGACTTCAATCCCAGCTAACATTGCACAAAGCAAAAGGGACACCCAACAGAGCCTGTCAACCCAAAGTCACGAAAGGTAATAAACGAAGTTCTCAGCCAGATAGTGGTGGTGCACACTTTTAATCCCAGCACTCGGGAGGCAGAGGCAGATGGTTCTCTGTGAGTTTGAGGCCAGCCTGGTCTACAGAGTAAGTTCCAGGAAAGGCTCCAAAGCTACACAGAGAAACCTTGTATCAAAAAACCCAAAATAAATAAATAAATAAAATGCTTAAGTCTTATGCCAGGAATGACTCACTTCTTTTGGAATGAAATGTCTTAAGCCATTGTAGTTGGCTTATCATCTATCTATCTATCTATCTCATCTATCTACCCATCTATATGTGTGGTGTATCTGTGTATGCACATATGTATGCAAATGTATATGACTATGTTTGTGAATGGGCAGGCCAGAAATAGATGTTAGATGTCTTCCTCTATTTTTCTCCATTTTATTTTTTACATCAGGGTCTATGATAGAACCTGAAGCTCACTGTTTTGGTTAGACTGGCTGACCAGAAAGCCCCTAGTATCCATCTGTCTCTGCGCTGCAGTCCTAGAGTTGCAGATACACATTGCTGTACCTGGCTTCTACATGAATGCTGGGAATCCAACTTCTGAACCTCATGCTGGTGCAGCAAGCCCTACCCACTGAGAAATCTCCCCAGCTCCAGCTTCATTTTATAAAATACCAATAGAAATGAAACATTGGGCATCATATTTCATTCTGGTATGAACCAAGTGTCCTACTCAAAGTCATATGTTGGTGTCACAACAGAAATCTCCTATCATGTGACTATTTTTGAAAATAGTTTCCAGAGATAATTAAGAAATATCAATACATAAGTAGTGTGATCTAGATGGGGCCCTGTTCTAAAGATGACTTGGGTTCCTATATGAAACAGGTGAGATAGGGGTGTAGTCAAGTCAATATAGTTCTTACTTAGCATGCAGGAGGCCCTGAGTATGACACTCAGCACAAACCAAGTATAGTGGCACACACCTGTAATAGCATCATCAGGAAATGGGGTCAGAGGATCAGAAATTCAAGGTCATCCTTTGCTACTTAGAAACTTTGAAGTCATCCTGAGATACACAAGACTTTGCCTCAAAAACAAACAAGCAAACAATTTCCAGAAACAAACAGCAAGGGTATGCATATAAAGAAGAAGACAAAATGAGGCCTCG